CTGCTTCAGCAGTCCAGCTGGCACAAGGGGTAGTGTCCCCAGATACCAATTGGTTGGGCCCCAGAAGTTTCTGAGAGTAAGTAACTCTGAGCTGCTGGCCCCAGGATCTAGGTCCCCCTGGCTGCAGATCTGGGAGGGTCTGGGCAGGGTTATTTTGTCCCAAGTGGCACAGTTTGCCCCTCACCAAAGTACATGTCCTGGCACATGCGCTCAGGCAAAAATCCCCAGCTCAAATTTGTGCCATTCCTATTTGAGCTGCTGCAAGTGTGTGTGCCTGCATGTGTGGATGCACCCTAAGGCTGCATCCAGGCAAGTGCAGCCATTTGTTTGAAGATCTTAGGCCACATCCAGATGAGCTACATGGATGTGTAGTAAGTGGTGCCAGGGACAAGTTGTGCCACTGCTACTTGTTCCTTTGCCACATGTGCTCTGGCACACAGCAGGTTACCCCAGGTAGGGTAGGGAAGGCTGTGGCCAGCAGCTGTGCTGGGCCCAGCAGCCTTACCTGGGGTCCTGGGGGCCTTGGTAAGCTGCAGCTGCAGAGCTTCTGCAGCTGGGAGCTTGTCCAGCAGCTGGAGTGTGGTTCCAGACAGCCAGGCTCCAGTTTTGGGCAGTGCACGCTGCCTCCAGGTGCGCTGCTCCATTTGTTCTCGGCATGGGGGTTTTTTGACCTCAGGATCTCCTGGGGTCAAAAAAAACAAACCCCTGTGCTACAAGGGGAATGCCTGCATGTACAGTGTGTGGCACCGCAGATGGGTCTGAGGCACCACCTACCACATGTGCACACTCATCTGGGCACAGCTTAAGATACCAAATCTTGAAGGGAAAGCACTTTTCTAATTAATTACTTCAAGAGGAAGACCTGCATCTTAGTATGCAAAGAGGCCATTATTAATATCTGGTAAAACCAGTAATTAATTTAAAAAGTGCTTTGCATATGTGAAAGGCTAAAACTGAAAGCCTCATTCCCCTATCCCTGGAAAAAACAAGCTGGAGTAATCTCATTTGCCCTATTGTCTGTGCATGAAAACTAAAACATTTAACACTTTTTAAAATCACCCTCCTGAGGCCTCATTTTCAAGCATGATCAAGCCTAAATTGAAGGACTTTAAGGGGCCAATCTTGATTTTGCCCATAATGACCAAATGAAGGGATCTGGGAACCAGATTTGACAGGCAGGTACA